AAAAAAAAAAAAAAAAAAAAAAAACTATTTAGGAATCAGATTATCTAAGAATATCATTCGAAAAATGTAAATCCACCTCTCAAAAACCTTACCCGACTATAATCCACGTACCTCGTTAGTCTTTAAAGTAAAAGTAATAGCAATAACAGCAGAAAAAATTAAAAAAGATAGAAATTTAATATAAGTGAGATTCAAGACTTTCCTCTTTAGTGACCTTTTTCATTTTAAACAGACATAAGAGCAGCACATAAATGCTATCCAGAACAAAAAAAATATTCCTTGGAAAGCAAAAACCACCAAAAAACCCTAGGTAAAGTTGAAAGAACTCGTCTATGCAACTCCTGAAACTTTTAAAAAAGATTTGATAAAGAAGTACCACAGTAAAAAATATTGTAATTTAGAATGCTGCCAGCCCTGATTAGTTCACAGAGTTCCAAGGCAAAATTAAGGTACTTGAAATAAAAACTAAATTTTGTTCCCAGTAATTTCAAAAATTACAAAATGTTTTGCCAGCCACAAAAAACATTTTATACCTCCGCTCCGATTACAAGATAATATAATACTGGTGTTTACTCAAACTGTACACCAAGAAATGTAAGCGTAAAAAAAATTTTTGAAAATTACTAATCTTCAACCAACACGAATGTTACATCTACTCCTCAAGAAATAAAAAACTACAGCTTTCAATCATAACACAGCAAACATGAACTTCATCAAAAGCCGTGCAATTTGAGTCAGTAAGATCAACCAGAATAACTCGTAAAACAAATTTACACACTTTTTTTTTACCTGGTGACTAACTACTGAATTGAAAATTTCTAAAGTTCCCAAAAAGAATAACTTTGAATTGGTGACAAATAAACAATAAATTGCAACATACACCACCAAATACACCATTAAAAACAACAACTGACAACTTCTAGGTGGCTTCTTCAAACAATTTAAACTTCAGTAGAGAAACGAACAAGCGCGAAAAAACGCTTCAAAAAAATGAAAAATTTTGTGTATAATTTGCAAACCAGTCATAAGAATATTTTTCGCCCTTCTGATCAAACAACATCAAGCTCCATGGGAAAATAAGGGAAATAAACAAGCCTATTACAGCTTACAGCAACCACAGTCAAAATGGTCAAAAAATTATATCCAATCCAAATGTATCACTTAAATGTCTGAACCAAAACGATTGTTCGATTCTTCCTATCTGGAGTTACGAGATTAACCTCAAAAAGATAGACTGAGACATAACAGGCAATCAAATTATCAATCTAAACATCTGAAAGCAAGTACGCAAGCACACTTACTATGAGAACTTGTGATAAAGATGAATCTACCAAATAAAACATTTTCAGACTCTTTGAATCCAAGTAAGTTTTCTAAAGTGATAAAAACAAAAGATCAATTAAGAAGGAAAAGAATAAACGAATAAGCAATCTTAAAAGATTAATAAAAAGACATGAATCATCAGCAAACAGCAAGACTTAGATTTTGCAAAAGCAAATTTCAGAAGTAAGCAACGGTTAGTTGCTCAAACAGGTACTCCAACAAACACGTCAAATCATTAGGCACAAGGGATTTGATTAGCAGCTCTTAATCTTCCGCCTTTCATTGCCATCTTCACTAGTTAGCAAAATTAATCCCGATAGCGTGTAGAAAAAGAAGTTTAAGAAAACAAACAATACGCAGAGGTAATAACGATGTTAAATAATAATATATCATTGGTACACTCGAGTACCTTAGTTTTATTCTCCAATGCCACTAATAAACAAGGAAATAAAACAAACCATATATAAATCAATCACCGCTGCAGCTCAACATCAAAAAAATTCATAATTGTATGCAACTCAGTTCTTTTCTTTCAAAACCTTCGTTGTTTTTTTCATTATAACGTTACCCGTTGTCAAAAAAAATTGAAAAACTTTTCGTTGAATCTGCTCCTCAGTTCGAAAAGAAATTTATATGCTTTCGCATAACCACTCTTTCTACAGAGCGTCAAGACCTTACCGAAATATACACTGCAGAAGTGTAAAGTTATTTTCGGAAGCCCAAAATATAATTATCATTTTGCGTTTTCAACGCACTGATTTCTCTTGTCCAGTGCAAGTATTTGAGGCTAAACGATTTCAAATATAATTGTCCCTCTAAAGAATTTAAACTCTAAAAGCAAGTATCAAGTTATCCTACTTCTGACAATATGCAGCAATGACCTCAATTACAGTATACTATCTTTAGAAAACGATAACACATTTTAATTTTGAAAATAAAATATCTAAAAAGAATCTATTGTACCAATGACAAAGAGCATCTGTCAGAGCATATCTGACAAACTCAATATTTTGCATAAAGCGAACATATTACCAACTAAACAAGAGTGTAAGAGATGCCAAGACCAAGGAGAATGTTCAAGTCTCTTTTCTTTATAACTCTATTAGTAAGAAAATTACAGTAGACCAATCAAAAATAAAACTAGAAAGCAACAAAGCTTCCTTCAGTCATTTTCATTCTATACAAGCAGCCGCTTCAGTCTCCAAAAGGCTTCAGTCACCATCAAAGACATTACTTTAAATAATTTAATCAGTGAACAACGCCTAAACAGAAAAAATTGCTTTGATGAGAGCTAAAATATGATAGTAAATTTATTTGATACCACTGAAAACAGCTGGAAATCTGTCAAAAACAACTGTAGCTTTTCTTTTCAAAACTGTTAAAGAACCAACTTTCTAGAACAACAAGCCATTACAAGATAGCATAAAATAAAACGATAAATCTAATATAATATTTAAAGCAGTGAAATTTGTTCTTGAATGTGCAATTAGAAATCATACCTATATGGCATTTGACCACACAAACAAACGATAACGTCAAGATTAATTGTAAAGGAAAAAAATGTGCAAAGTTGCTTATGAAAGTATCTATAAATAATATGTATATATAGAGCTTTGTTGCTTAAATACGCTCTTGAATGTTGGTTTGCTGTTCTCTTCAACTTAGACGCTTAAATGCACAAAAGAACGAACGAAATCCTAACACACCAAAAGCCATTTGTGTTGTGTTACACTGTCACTCTCACTAGACCTCACTGCTCACCGTTGTTCCAGTATTCTCCTACTCTGCAAAAAATAATCGAGTGCATTAAACTGAAAATTTCCTGTTTTAATAAACATGTAAAATCCTCAAGTAATTGATCTTGAAAATTTCTGCGATGCAACTTCTCACACTCCAAAAACTGCATGAAAGAAGAAAAAAGAGCAAAGAAATAATATCAACTTGTCTAAAAACTTATTTCCCTCTTCCTAATAAATACAAAAACTGTAATTTACATTCCTACACTAAAACGAATTTTCAGCAATTTTGCTCCTTTTTTTTTTTTAATTTTACTGTGTCAGCTTCACACGCCGCTGATTAGAAGCGTTATTTTTCTATGACAAGCAACAGAATAATAGCAAAACAACAACAAAGGCTGCCCATTTATGTCTCAACAAATGAAGCCACCCACTGTCTCTTTGAAAATAACCCTTGAAAAACAAAGAGGCAGAATGTACTTCTAGTAAGTCACCAATTCTTTAACACCTACTACTTTTTCTTTCACCAACTCCAATCTTCTAAACTTGCCATTTACAACCCTTTAAAATGAAACGCATTCAAGATTATGCATAGCGATAAATACATATCTATTCCATCTTC